AAAATACTTGGTTAGTTAAGTATGAGTGATCTCAAAAAATTCTAATAATAAAATTATGAAATGATTGAGCATTTGAAATAAGTATAAAACAGTTTTAAAAAATGTTTTTTACTTATCTAAAAACTTCAATAAGAAATAAAAGGTAACTATAAAACGGGAGGATAATGAATTATAACTAATTGACACAAAAAAAAGTTTAAAAAAGCATACAAAATTATCAAATAAATTGTTCTTAATGCTTTAAAGATAATTATTTAATGTAAAATAAACAATTTGTTTTATGTAATAGATTAAAAAGGAATAAAAATACTTTGCCTAGATTTCTACTTAATAATTGATAAAAATTTGTCACATAAAAGTATGGTTTCACTTCAAAAAAAAGTGAGAGAGTTTCTTCATAATTTCAAATACTTTAAAAGTTCAAATGTGTCTCAAAATTTCTTAAAAATTGTTAATTAAAATTAATCCAGATCTTTCTTAAAGAAGCTTGAGGTTTTCCTAGAGTAAAATTTTGCATAAGTTCCTAAACCAAAACAACTTTTAAAATCATGTACAGAGGTTTCAGACAAGATTTTTGGGTCTCTTATTTTGAATTTTCATTAGGTTAACAAATTATTTTTATGCCAGCGTGCTAAAATAAACCACCACAGAGGAAAACAATGATAAAAATCCGGAGCAGGGGACTAGTTAGGAAAAATAAAATCATATAAATTTTTAAAGTTTGTAGTAATAACTTTTTTAATAATTTAGGAAATTTATAAAAATTATAAAAATAAAAAAAAGAAATATTAAAACCAGTGCAAAATAATTAAACCAAATATTTTAGTTAAATTACAAAATTTATATTATCAATATTTCTAATTCGAAATAGATATGTGCTTTATTATCAACTATGAAATAAGACACTCAGGAGACTAAGGGCACATTCATTCTTATTGGATTCAGAATAAAATTGTTGCATCACCAAACATTTATCACATGCTATAATATTTTTAATAAAATTATTAGGAAAAATTGAAAGGAAAAATGTTTACAGCCTATCTGAGTCAAAGAATCAAAATTAACAATTTTCTAACAGGGAAAAAAAACTACCCTTCGTTTAAAATCTACATTATACTATGTACTACGATTCAATCTCTCATTTTGCAATAATTAAAAGATTTCATTTCTTTATCATTATTTGCCCCATATAATTTTTTTGAGGATTACATTGACTCTATTATATACTTTTACTGAAAAGAGTTTTATTCGCTTTAATCAAATATTAAAGGGGGGGGGGGAAATTGATGAGACTACATTGAGATGATTGTATTATTTTGTTGGACAATGTAATACACATGTTGTACAATGGATATATTGTTATTTAAACCTCTTTATTTCTAATGTAATATAAAAATTAATAATACAAGTATATTATAGACTAGAGTTATAAAGAAAAATAAAGGAATATATATTTAAGTATCTAAACAAAGTTGTGAGCTATAGAAAAGAATATTATTTACAAAAACTTAATTACATTATTATTTCTTATATTCCTGAGCTGTAAAGGAAATTTAAACATATAACACAGCTTAAAATATTTATACAAAAGTTACAAAATTAGTAAGGACGAACAAAAAAAATAAAATGAAAGAAACTGAAGACTGAACAAAAGTGAACTAAAAGAAAAAGACAATCTACAACTTAAAAAAAAAAAAAAAACGAAATGGAGAACAGAATAGTTATTTCAATTTGCGAGGAATAAAATCTGAAAATGTTTTAGAGAGAATTTTAACTTAATGAAAAATGTTTAATAGATTAAAAATATATGTTTTTTCTCCCTTAAAGGCATCAATTTGCTTAAGTATTTTATTCAAAAGTTTTATTCAAGTGTAAAAACAGTTGAACTATCAACAGAAAAAAAAGGAGCTAGGTTATAGTATTAAATAATTAAAAAAAAGAAAGTATTTAACCCCTGAGTATAAAAATTCATATTTAAGTAAATATAAACAAGTAATTATTGTAAGCTTAATTGTAGATATAAATATAATTTTTTATAAATTAAATACTAATACAAGGATTAATTTACTGCTAACATTTTTTAACTTTTACTTATTAAACTGGAATATCAGATTCTTCTTAAAACTATTCTCAGAGAATAACCTAGAAATTTCAAAAGCTATGCAAAAAGATAAAACTAAACAAAATTTTGCTACCAGCTGAATATTTAAAGATATTTAAGTTATTGGGCATATCCTCCATTTTAACTTACTTAATTACAAAGAAGAAAATCATTTAAAAAAATTAGTTTTAGACAATATAACTATGTTTTAACCCAATAAAACCTACATCCTAGTGATGAGCTTAAACAAAATTTTAAATTGTAACAAAAAAAAGAGAGGAAGCACATTTTTTTTAACATAGAATATCTCCTTATCAGATTATAATTTTATCTATTTGTATAAAAAAATTATTTGTTTTTTAAGACTTCCAATGTGTAACACCCATTTCTTTTATCTGATAAAACTACAAAAAGAACAGGGTCACCTGATAGAACCCAAAAGGAAAAAAGGTTATACCTCACAAAAATGATATGTTATGATAGTTCAAAAATGAAATTCCTAAAAAATGAAAATGGAATAATAGTACGTTCAAATGATGAATGAATGTGAATACCTATACAAACCATTAAGAATTCAAAATTTTAAACAGAGACAAAATTATTAAAAAAACATTCTTATAACTTTGTAAAAATTCCTCCATAAAAGTAACTGTACAAGAAAATATATTTACAATTACAAGTAAGAATTTTAAAAAATATATATATAATGCATTATTATATGGGTAAAAATTCTACAATTGTCAGCTGCTCATATAGACAATTTATAGACAGAGAAAAAGAAAGGTCAGCAAGAAGCAATTCACTTTATGAACACAATATGGAATTAATTTTACTAAAAAAAAATTAAATATGAATTGCAAAAGGAATAAATTGACTTAGAATATATAGCTAATATGTATCTATTTTCAGAACTTAAATATTGCAATTTATTATGATTTCAAAATAATTAAATTACTTATATTATAAAAAAACAAAAATAAGTATAATAAGATAATGGTGAAAAAATTAAAATTTTATTCAAGGAATATCTAGAAAATGGAATGAAACAAAATAACTTGGCAGCTACCATAATTAACTTCATGGACAGAGAGATCAAAAAAGATCCTTATTAACCGTATACTAATTAATAATTAAAGTAAAATACAATTATTGACGGCAGTTTTGCTTTTGTTATTTGCAATTACACAATATATAGAGCAAAAGGGCAAAATATCAAAAGTTAGTTTAGATTGAAATTTGTTACATGTCATCATCAATAGAAATCCTTTATGATAAAAGAATTTAGAATTTTTCAAACAAATATAAGTAAAACATTTATTCAAATTTATTATGTATTTTCCAGTGGAATTCAAAAATATATTTTTTGATAATAAAAAAATCAAAAAGTTCAAAAACACTATGTGAATTTTTGAATATATACCTGAATTGTACAGTGAAAATTCACAATGATATGGGTATTGGTTATACGAATTCTTCTCACATAAAAAAGAAGGAATTTAAATTAAATTACTGTTTAAAAGACAAATAATAGTTAGTACAAATAATTTAAATTAAATTACTGTTTAAAAGACAAATTAGAGCTAAAAATATTTCAGAACAACTCGCATAAAAGTATGTGAGCTACTTTGAAATAGAGTAGTTTAATTCAAACAATATTTCTGGATTTATTCACGCCACTTTACTTCAAAAAGAAAACTAACAAGAGAATTTTTAAGCAAAACAATAAAATCAAACAAGGACTTGAAAGTAAAGAGCTTGTGAAGTAATCCTATATTAGTAGACAGAAAAATATCTACATAATTTTATTTTTAAAAAAAACTGTAATGTGTAGGGAAATTTCTTTTTTAATAGAAAATAGTCTTATTAGTAGAAAGTAGTCATTTTTAGTAAACTATCACAGTAAAATTATTACAAAATTATCATTTTCAAATAAGTTAGACAAAATAACAATTTGAAATTCTAAATTTGTAGTTAAAAAAAGCAATATTTAATTATTTATATTTCATACACAGAAAATAAAACCTTATCTTATTTTAAAGTAGAAACAAATTATTAGTATTAATATTATTTTATTAAAGGTCACTTTTGAAAGTTAATAGTTTATTATAAGGACGGAGACTAGATAAAATTATACATAGCCTTCATCCATTCTTTCTGAGGCACTTATCAAAAATTACATTTATGTTGAAAATATTCTTCTCTTTAAAAATGAAATTCCGTAAAAACTATAAAGCTTACTAAAAATCAAATGCAATAAATAAAAAATATTGATTTTATTTTAGTTTTGCTTAAGATATGTATTTCATACAAAAGTGACTCTCACAAATATCACAACATACAGAAATGAACATTAATTTACATTTAGTTTTGTTCTAGTTTTTCTTTAGAAACAAAGGCCGGGTGATGAAATTTTGGGATTAATTGAACAAAATAAATAAGTAAAAATTTCATACTGGCGCATAATTACTTTACCGATGATTTCATTATTTTACAGTCTTTAATTTTAAATAAGAAATGACCTTTGGAAGTGGAAGGGAAAAAAAACGGCATGCCAAAGTAGAAGATTATCTCAAGTACAGCCTCTTTTGCATCAAAAAATATAAACTGTTCATGACATGCGAATTCAGATGTTCCATTATCAGAAATTGAAAGCCAATAAACACACAATGAAAAATTTGACAATTATCACAAATTAAGTGCAACATTTTATCAAAAACAAAACAGTTTATGAAATGAGAATTTCATCATTGTAATTTCAATAACTTCAGAATCATGCAAGAATTTGCTTATTTTAAATATAAAAAGCAATGAAGCATATCTGAAGTAATCATTATAAAATTAATTATTTGTTTCAAACTATATATATAAAAATTACTGCTTTAAGTAAGATGAGTTTTAGAATATTGAAAAAAAAAAAACATTTTTCACATTTATTTTTTATCTTCTGAAGGACAAACATTAGGGAGTGTGCAATTTCCACTGACTAGAGACCGCAAATTCTGTAGAACTTCATTTTTCTCAACTAATTCAGAATTTGTTTCAAGAGTCTGAAAGTGAAAAGAAAAGAAAACAATAAACTATTCAATTCAATGGTAATTGGCAGCATCATTGGGGATTAGAAAGGTAAATGTTTTGTAGTTTTTAATACCAAAATAACATTTCTATTTCACATCAATTCTTTATTAATTATAAAAATATAAGATATAAAGCTCAGAAAAAGCTAAAAAATTTTACATGGCTCACCCAAGTATATTAGGCACATGAACCTTCCACTTACACAAACATATTATTCAAACGCATATTATTGAAAACATATAAATTTACCTATTATTAACATTGTGTACCTATTTTTGACATTAACAGTGCATCTAAATCAACACTTTTATTTTAAGAGAATTCAATAGTATTAGATACAATTTTTAAAAAAATAAAAGCATTAAGCACAAATAAGCATTAATAAGCATCTTTATTATTAACTTCTTGGTTAACACTTGATAATACTTGATTAATACCACTAAGCAACTTTTTATCTCTTATTCATTTTCTGTGAATCTGGGTTTTCAGCATTAACATACAAGAATACAAGTAATAGGAATACAAGTAATGACAAGAATACAAGTAACATACAAGTAATGACTACATCTCCAAAGTAGCTTATAATTGCTACATTTAAAAATAAGTAGCTGTTAACTAAATTTGCAATAAAGTAGTTAACAACAAAAATAATGTAGTTTTTCCTAACCACTGGTCCATATTTAAATATGTGTAGTTACATTAAAATTTGTGTATGAAATTGTGTATATTTATCTTTAATCAGATTCACTTTGAACTCCTATAAAGCAAAGACAATGGTGGGGGAAGAAATGATCCTAAATGAGTATTCAAAGGATGGACAGAGCCTGAAAGGTTAAGAACCATTTTTATTGCATTTATATTTTTAAGCTTGATTCTTTAAAAATCAAAACTTCTCCAAAAGCACCTATCATAAAAGAAGTATAATATGTATATAACTTAGAAACACAATTTATGTCAAGCTAGAAAAAACCTAAAATGTTCTACGTAATTTAAAACCAATACTTTTGCATTAAATGAATATGGCGTTATTGTATATAAAAAAAAAAGTTTAAAAAAAGGGAGCCATTTTAAGTTCAAGTCATATAATTAGGCCTCAGATACAGAGAACAGATAAATGCAGAACTTTTTAATCTCTATATATAATGGTAATAAAAACACTATTTAAGACGGAGCTTTTTACTCAGATTTAAACACTGATGAGACATGTTTATGATACTAAAACAGCTATCCCCTAGTTTAGCTTTTCATTCTTAAATTATACATTATTTTATATATTATTTTATACACAATTAAAAGAAATTACTTTAAAAAACAGTTAAAAGTCGTATAACGAAAATAAACTAAAAATAATAAACATCATAATTTCTTTATATAATCTTAATGTGAAAAATTTAATTTTACATTTTTACTGGTTCTATATTTTTTGAGCTTGATTCTTTCATTATCAGGACGAACAATAGGATAAAATATAATGAAGCACACAATTGCGTGAAAATCATTAGAAAGATTAATGAGGAAAATTTTAACAACTGAACTAGTCTTTTTTAAAACACACTTCTGTAAAATCTATTTTATAGCAAAGAAATCAAATTTACACCAACTTTAATTTAAATTTTTTTTTTTTTAATTCTTTTAATTTGTATTCTGAAATTTTTTAGTATAAATATTACACATTACATACAGAAAAAAAATACCAAGGCTAGAATTTGGTCTAAAATAATTTAATTTACAACTTAACTCAAACTACCCATGCCCAGCAGATAAAACTTCTTCTCTTTCTCTCTTCTCTTTCTTATCCCCAAAATTAGCAGGGCTAAACAATGTCCATGAAATTCATGGCCCTGAGGAAATCGGCCACCATAAGTGTNAATTATTATATAAAGAAAATTAATTTTGTATTTTGAAATGTTATTTGTCAAAAAAAAATACCCTCATTAAAAACAATAGCTACTTTAATGTTTGTTTTTTTTCACATAAAAATATTCCAACACTTTTCAGTTAAAACAAAATAGGAAAATAAAAATTTCATTCTGGACTTACAAAAAATAAGTACACAAATCATTCTTAAAATAAGTAAATAGGAAACAACTTACAGTGTAAACTTTGAGAATAACATTATCTAGTATTTCAATTTCTTTCTCAGCTTGTTTCAAGTTCTGTTCATGAATTAATTTGGTACGACTAAATTTTTGTGATAACTGTTGAAGAAGTTTTTCCTTTTGTTCTATTATGGCTTTCAGCTTTGCAATCTGAAAAAGGCAAAATATTTTATTTTATTCACTTATACACTATCTTGACTTTAACATTTCTTAATTTGCAAACAAAAGAAGAAAGAATATTAAAAAAATATACCTAAACAATCCTATAATATCAGTAACAAAAACCACCCTGTATTTCATAAAATATTTTAGTTCTTTATTAATTTAGATATTCTCATGAACTGTTGAGCATTGAAATTATTTTTACATAAAGCTAAACTATTTTTTAGCTGCTTGGACAAAATCAAGATAAATGATTGATGCAAAAATACGAATCAGAATGTACAGATGACTGTTTTAACATTCTTCATTTTTTACTGCTCCACCTACTACAGCAAGTTTTAAAAAATGACCAGCTTCTAATTTTCTAAATTGGCCAGTAAGGACGCTGAATAATCACACGCAGGATAATTAGCATCCAACTGAATAAAAGTTTTACTGATATACAAATATTAATGAATAAAATTACTTTTTATTTGATTTTTTTTAATTATTTTGTGACACATTTTGTGTATTAAGTTTACACTCTTTTCAAGTACAATTTATTGCTTTTCAAATCTAGGAAATCTTTAATTTCATTATGAGAACATTAACAAAATGTTCTTATAAGAAATTGCAATAATTTAATTCATATATTTTATAAAAAAATTTTTTAGAAATTATTGACTTAACTATAACAAATGCAAAGTAATTCAGGAAGTAAATGAGAGAAGCCTCATAGTAACCTTAAATTATACAATCCCAAATAACCTGAATATATCTTCTGGGCATTATTTCTAGATATTGGCTGCTATTTGTAGTCTTTAATTACATAAATGCAAAATAATAACGATTTCTTAGAACTAGTGCAATAATTATTAAAAACAGATTACAAAAATTCTTACTTCTTGTTTTAATGTCAATTTATCACATATATCTTCCGCATTTGTTCGGAAACCATGATTAGACTCAGAAAAACTTTTTTCAAGTTTTAATGTCAGTTGTTGATTGAGTTCCGTATTTACAGCCTCTAAACATCTTATCTCTTCAGTCAAAGTTGTATTTTTCGAAAGTAAATTCTAAAAATTCAAAATAATTTCTTGTAAGACTCATAATTAAACTATGGACAAATAAAATGGAATTTTAGATATATGCTAAAAATTTTCAAAAACCTCTTTTTCTTCCTCATATTCAGCTTCATTCTTTTTCAGATCTGATGACAGCTGCTTGAATTTTTCATTTGATCTTTCAATCAAAATATCTTTATTATTTAAATCTGCTTGCATCTGATACTGCTTGTTTTTACAAGAGCGTAACTCATCTTGGATACTGTTCCTATAATAATGTTGTTATAAATAAGATTTTAAAGTCATTTAAAGGTTAATATCAAACATTATATATTAATAACTAAAATTTATGTACATAAAATATTTTTTTTTTACATTTAGCAAAAATTAAAATGTTCAACTTATAAGGTCTACAATAATTAAAATATCATTACTATTCAAATCTGCTAGCTCATATTGCTGTATTTTTATATGAGCCAAATTCATCTTAGATACTGTTCCTATGATAATGATACTGTTCCTATGATAAATAAAATTTCAATTTGTTTTAAATGATAGAATCAAACAACATTTTATAATAAAATGAAATATAGAGAGAGGGAAAGGTGACAATCGAATAACCGGTCAAGTCTTGAAAATTAACTTGATTAAAAACATTATGAAAACTTTTTTTAGTTCCCCTTTAACATACTCCTCTTCCCTATCAATTCATCGCTGCTTACGAGTTTTCCACTGTTGAAAGCAGTGTTGCAGATCATTAGGTATCATCTTTGTCAGAAAGTCTGTCATTATTTTTATCTCTTCTACAGACTGAAAATGTGTTCCCCTCAATAACTTTTCTACATTGATAACTTTTGCCCTTGGATTAAGAATGGGTACTATCTAGCTCCGCCCCCACACTCTTGGTGTGAGTCTATGCTATGCTTTTAAAAGCTAAAGTGCAAAGGAAGAAAAAGACAACTAGATCTAAGGCTGAACAAAAGTTTTATAGGTTCCAGGACAAAATATATTGTACACTCCTTTCTCAAAGCACAAAAAGCCTTATTTTCAGAGTTTGTAGAATTTGTAAACAAAAACAAAAATAAACAAAAACCCTTTAAACAAAATTGTAGTTTTTACATAGAATTATATAATAAACACTAGAATTTCTTGTACAAAGTTTGGTTTTGCCCTCAGCAATATGGCCTTGACTACATCACATATAAATTACATGCATAATTTTCCATTAAAATCGAAATGATTGCAGCTTTCTTCACTAAAATTCTAGTATTTCAAGATTTCCCATAGTTAACATTTGTACCCCAGGTAAGACCGGGGAATTCGACTTTTTCTACAAAAAAAAATCTTTTATAAAAAAAAGCAGTACATCTATGAATTGTCAGGAATGATATATTGTACACAACTAAACAATAAATATCTGATTAAATGTGCAGTTTCTAGGATGAACTGTCCTTTAAATTTTAGCTATACTGTCGTACTTCACTTTATCCTTTTAACATTGTAAGGTTAAAATAAACACTAAGATCTGTAGAAACCATGTATATGCAAGGGGCAACACAAGGTATAAAATAAAGTTCAATTTCAAATACATAAAAAATTTACTTACTTTTCTTCAATTAAAGTTTTCATTCTCAATAAAAATTTCTCTTGTGTCAGTTCAATAACTTTTCCAACTTTTTTAATCAAACTGTTCATTTGGTTTAGCTGAGTTTCAACAGATGTTTTTTTCTCCTCTTCAAAATTAATATTCTCTATGGGAGAAATTTCAGATTCTAAACTACGTTGCCTTACAGGACGGAATGCAGTAGCCATCCCAATAGGTTTGAATGCACTACTTGCTACTGGTGAGGAATCTTTACTTATTGAGCTTATATGACTGAAATCTCCATTTATGCTACTTAAATTTTCTATCGAACTCTTGGCAGAATCAGAATTTTGTTCCGAAAAAGATTTAGACATGTTTTGTTTAGGTAGCTTTGCATCATTTTTGGCTGTTTGTTCATAAGCCCTAACCATAGACTGTACAAGAGAAACTGGGCGTTCATTTTCGCTTGCAGCAGGAGAGTGCAATGGTTTAATAGGCTCACTACAAAATATATCTGGCAAGGATTTATGAATATCAAGAACTTTATCTTCTGGTTTAATGTTGTCCTGAGATGATGCAGCCAAATTTGAAATATGTGAATCAGATTTTAAAATTCCATTTTGCTCTGATTGAGAAAAACTATTGTCACTTTCGCTATCCAAATCGGCCATTATTTCTTCTAACATCTACAAGAAAATAAATAACCATTAGCAAATTAGTTTTAGAGCAATTAAATAAAATTACCTGCATAAAAAGAGGGTTAAAAAAACATCCTAGTAACAGCCTATTATTAACCAGGAAGATCATGGAGATTAAAATTCCACAATTTCACAACCTATTACATGATTGTGGCAATGTAATTAACATTGTGCACAAGTCTCCTTTACTTCCCAGAAACTGTATTAACCAGAGATTTGAAGTTGGGTAGGCTACAAGCCACCAGTGAGAATCAAAACCCAGTTTATGCTTCACAATGATAACTCAGTGGCTTATATAATAAGGAACAAAGAAAAATAAATACAGTATAGTACTGATAATCAAAGTTAATTAGTACAGAGGTAAACTCAGATTAGGCAGAATTTCTTTTATCTTTAAATAAAAAAATACGCTTAAAATAGCCGTTATTCATACAAACAAGGTATCATTAGTATTAAAAAAAAGCAAACTCTAGTTTCCAGAATTACAATTGCACAATATGAAAAATTTACAAATAAATTACTGTTTCATCACTTTTCTGCCCGTATAAAGCTCTTATTCAATTCAAGACACAATCTCACTCTATAAAGTTTATTGCCCGTATCTACCTAATAATACAACTACCAATTTAATTTATTACTATCCAGATATTTTTAAAATTTGGTTTTTTACATAAAAACTTTCCATCCTTTTAGTTACAGCAAAAATAAAGGCAAAAAAATTGTCTGACTTGCCCAGAATTAGCAACTTTTATTAGCAACACACAGTTGTATTTTCCAGTTTAGTAAAAATATTACACATATTGGAATTAAAACATTATCCATAAATGCCATCGAAAGGAGAATATTAAACTCTTCATATAATTTTGAATAATTGATGACATTTTGATCACTGAAGTTTGGGAGATTAATCTCTTCATCTAACGATACACTATCAAAAGACAAATTAAAAACGTAAAAATGAAAGCAAAAGTTAACAATAATTATCATAAATTGAAAAAAAAATTATTTCTTAAATAAGTGAAAATTAAGGTAATTGTTGTTAAAAGACAGTTGCTTTAAAAGCAACAAGTAATATTAAGAAATTTGATATTTTATTATAATTTAACAAATTTAGTTTCTCCATTTTAGAAAAATTTATAAATAATTTATTAAACAGAAGAACATATTACATATAAATAGAACTGAAGTTTATTCCATATATTAGGAAAGGGTCCTTTCTTGGGAACACTAATAAATTTCTTCTCAATAATTTTTTTTAAAAATTTTAGATTCTTATTATTTAATTTATAATAAAAATCTCACTTCAAAAATTTTTAAAAAAAACAATGACTTGTTTAAAAAATTGTTTAAACAAGTTGTTTAAAAAAAACAATGAATTCGGAGCTGAAAAGTTATCAATGCAAAAGTTATCAAAGTTATCCACTCCAGATACTACACTAAAGCTCCGACTCCACTGAGATTCCGATTATTTACGTGCACCTCAATTTTAGATTTCAATTTGAAAATTTTAATATGAAAAGGAACATTAAAAAATAACATAATCAACTCACATGGAAAATTCAGATTTAATGTAATTCACATTAGATCAATCTTAAGAGATGAATTGAAACCAAGAAACCCACCTTCATATTTGATCTTAAATCATTATAAACGTGCCATAATGCCAAGAAAAATCTTCCTGTAGCAACTTAGGCATCAGGTAACGGCATTGCAAAACAGCAGGTCTCGTGAATATCTCTAAGATACAATGAAATTGCTGAACACTACTCTACATCACTTCAGCTCCCAGGTAAATGGTATTAACTACTATAATACTTTTGTCTCATGTTTAATTTTTAAAATAAAATGCAGTAAAATTGCATTTGCCCTGAAATTCCAGAACCCTGGAAGCATGATTGACAACCCCACTCCACTGCCAGTTTTTATAAAAAATATCAAACATCTTAAATGTATCACTTTTTGGAGAGGTGGTTAAAAAATTTAATTACCTCTTTCTGTAGAGACAATTCAGTAGCTGCAAAATCTGCAGCAGCAGTTAGCATGGTATGTGCATTCATAGAAATCTGTGATAAATGCATAGATATCATAGTGAGCTCAGCTCCTTGGCTCAGAAGCATATCACGGCAACTTCCTTGTGTGCGATCTAATTCTGCTCTAAGTAGTTGAACTTGCAATCTGCAAAAATACAAACACGTTTTAACAATTCAATATAACAAAGCATAAGCTTTAACATTTTCAGTAAAAAAACAAAAGGTTCAGTAAGGATTAAAAAATTATTAATAAATGATAGTTATCATCAAAATACTCATTAATACAAGTTCACCATTAAATACTAAAGCATTTGGTAAATTTATGGTCTTTAAAAATACAGTAAAATTGGTTTTAATAGTGAATAAGCTTTTATAACTTTTGATAAAACCTCACTTTATCAATTTTAATATTTAATGTAACAAGTACTTGTAGTCCCATTAAACAGAAAACCTCCAGCACAGCAGCTGGCACTATTTCATCTCAGATTTTCTTTAAAAATAAAAAAAACAAATATTACACATCTAAAGATTATTTTTCATCTCAAATTTTAAAAACAGGCCTAAAATATTACTAAGGGTCAAAATAGAAAAATCACTTTTAATTCTTAAACTTACTCAATTACTTTTTGTTTCAGGTCCTTAACAAAATTTATTTGTCAATCTGAAGATATATAAGCAAAAAGAAAGTGATGATTTTAAAAAATTCCAAAGGATATTCTTCAATTAACTGGAATTTTGAAAAATAAAGAATTTAAAAGATAGAAAAATTTAAAAAATAAATTCTTAATTTCCAAAAACTCTAGTTGCTTGTTCATAGATTGTAAAGGGATTCATTTCATCTTTTTCATATTTCAATTGCTCCATTCCAGTGTTTTCACTACAGCGCGAGAACGCGAGGATCTTGCACATTTTTTTCTTTTCTCGCATTAAAAAATGATTATCGCGAGCAATTCGCCCATTTTATAAATCAATTTCAAAATTCGCGAATTTCTTGCATTTTGGAAAAAGCTTCGAATTATGCCATTTAGAATAAAATCAATTTCACTTTTCTTCCTGGATTTTCAACATCTGTCCCGTTATCTAGCTTCTCTATTTACCAGTATTGTTCAGAACCTTTTCAAACAACAGAACACAACCACGGAACCCCTTTCACAACACATTTCTCTGTAACCACGTGTTTACCGTAGGTAAGGTTTCTTCATGTAAGACGCTCAAATTTTTTACATAAGATGGACAAATACCTTGTAAAGGCAAAATCTTCTATGACGATGCACAAAAAATGTTCAATGCTTTAAAAAATAGATGTTAAAAATGTATCATAATTAAAGAAATGATTTTTCTTTCAAGAGTTTTTGTGTTTTTTTAGTTTTTAGAAATCTCACTTAGCTTTTTGAAATTGTACCCTGTTTTTGAGAAAGGGTGAGAAATTCTCACCCATATTTTTTCTATGATGAAAACACTGCATTCATTTAAAAGTGTTTAAAAATTTTAACTAAAATTACAAATTTTTTAACATTTTTTTATAGAATTTTTCCTTATATGTCTCAGCCTTATATGTGTTAATTTCAAAACATATGATTTTCAAGTCAGTAAATAAATCATAAAAAAATAAGACAAGACTAAATTAAATGTATCAATTAAATAAATATCAGCTAGTAATGGGACATGGCACACAAAATAATGAAAACGGTTCAAATGCAACTTTATCAACATGAGCATTAAAACACAACTGCAGAACTAAAATTTGTTTACAATGTAAACAATCAAAAACCTAAACATTTCTATTATTACATATAAACAAACTTACAATATTTGGATATGATTACTTGTCACATTGAGTCATTTTACTTAAATATAAATATGAGATTATAATATTAATAGACTGCAATATATATATATATANGATTAAAAATCACTCAAGTTCAACTTAAAATGATCCACTCATGTAATACTGATAGTCAATCAAACACGATTGAATTTCACTCAAGTTGAGTTATTGTAACTCGTTCATTTTAAATGAGTATATTTTAGATACAAATGATATTCAATGTTTATATAATATATATATATATATATATTCTTTTTTTTTACCAATAATATTTAGAATATTCCAAAATTCAATTATTCAAAGGGCAAAGATACTTAATACTTAAAAAGATTGTCTTACATACAAGGTAATATTAGAAAACAAAAAAGCGCTTTTTCTTAAGAAAACTCAATAAATTTTCACAATTTTTCAATAAGGAAAATAAGTTTGGTTTAAAAATAACTGTAAAGTTATAATGTAATTCCTTGATGAAATTGGTTAAAATTCTGAAGACTTAAATTTTAAAAATAAAAAAGATGATTGGTTAGATTTTCATAATAAATATAAAAAGAATAGTTTGCTCTTTAATATAAAATGCAAATCAAATAAAATCTAATTTATCTATTTAACTGAACTTTCCTCCAATTAGAAGGGCTTTTACTAAAAAAAAAAAAAAATTGTCTTATTAATATTGCATTGTTGACTATTGATGTTGCCTTAATACTAAACCATTGCATAAGATGATTTTGCTGAACCACTATTTACATATTTATATATTATTTACTCTTAAAAAGTGTTTCTAGTTCCATCCTATTCAGTCTTAAAGTTTGTTTAGTTTAAAAAGAGAAATCTATGAAATATTAAAAACTTTACCCTTGATGCTACTTTACCAAATGGCAAGCTGGATTGAACACTTCAAGTTTCAATTCTTGTATGGATGCAAATAGCAATGAATAATTTTAACCTTTAAAGCTCAACAACAAACAAAAATAAAATTGAAGTAGATTAAATGCAACATACAGAATTGGATTGAATTGAATGCAAGGTTTAATGGTTTAGCCAAAAATTCATCACACATATGGTTTTCACCACAAACATATTTAACAAACTAAAAAAATTAATTAAAATGAAACTTACGCATAATCTTTTATTTTGGCATACAGCTTCCTTGTTCTGTCCATCATATCAATATTCTTACTTTTTTCATTACTTAATTCTGCTTTAGTGGCTAATAAAGATTGTTCTGTTTCCTGATAGGCTTCAGCCGACGTAGATCTTTCAATTTGTAAAAAGTCAATGTGGTCTTTAGCCTCCAGCAATGCAGATCTCAATTCCCTCAGATGTTTTCCATATTCTTCTCGTTGAACATTCGCATCTTCCAACATTCGTTGTTGATCTGAAAGAGCATCTTGACACTGTTGAAGTTCTAAATTGGAACCAGCCAAATGATTTTCCAATTCTTGTACTTTTCCTGTGGCTTCATGCAGTTCTGAAAAATTCAATCATAAAATTTACACTGATAATGCTTTGGAGAAATAAGAAATAAAAAGTTTTCATAATTTGACAATTAAACTACATAGGCAAAAAATTACATCACATGAAAAATTGATTCAAGTAAACTTTGCAGAATTCAAAAAGCTTTGAACAACATTTTAAATAGTATACAAAAATTAAACTTTAAAGGTATTAATGTTAAAACTTTAATTTTTATTAAGTTTATTATAACCTTACAAAGCCTTTACAGCAGAGCATGTCGTAAAGATTATCTATTCTCTTAATTTAGAATAAAAAGTATTAAAAAATAAAAAAACAGAAATTAGCAAAATGTGTTATAAATATTCAAACTACAAAAAAAAGTTAAATAATGTTCAGATCAGTCCAATTTAATTTTTTTTCTTTCAAATGCTTATTTTTACCTTTTTCTCTTTCATCTAATTTGTCAATAAGATTTACAATCTCCAGGGATGCTCCATTACAAGATTCATCCATGACAAGCTCAGAATTGAGAATCTAAAGTAAAATAATTTTATAAAATTTAAATTATAAAGTTATTGAGAAAAGGAAGAAAAAAACATTAGATGAACAAAACTCTTTAAACAAAAAAAGATAAAGCAATCATATTTTTAAATATTAACAATAAATACATACTATTAGCTATTGCTCTAAGATATTTGAATAAAATACTTTAGTTCCAAGAAATGCAAAAATGCTTGGCACAAAACTGAATACTCAGTTTGACAAAGGGAAAAACAAAGTATTTGGCCAAATAGATGAGCCAAACATTGAGAACAAAATTATTTATATTTATAATAATACTAATTGAAGTATTTATAAATAACACAACTTTTGGATTATATTTATTTATTTTAAATATTAAATACTTTTACTTTCAGTAATATTAAATTCTATAAATTTTACAAATGAACTTAAGTTTAACAATGAATGGATTTTAATTAATGTGCAATGCTTGAAAATTCATACAAGTAAATTTTTTCAGATTATTTCCTTATTCTTCAATTTGTATAATTATTAAAGCTACAATAACTATTTCAAGTATCTTTACAATGACACAGTAATTTCTATTAAAAACATTTATAATTTTTCAGCAATGAAAAGCATTTTATTGTTAATTATAACAATAACACAGCTTAAGACTCCAGATTATTAAGATTTATTATTTATGATTCAAACATCAATTTTTTAAAAGCTGAGTTAACACATACCTACAAGAGCAACAAAAATATTTAAAATCAAATATAATGAAAATCAAATTTTTAATACCAACAAGAATATTTTAGTTGAATAACATAAAAAGGAAATTAAGTGTACTATACTAAGTCCTCAAAAATTACTTGATTAAAATTAAAAATATGTACATTTTTTTTCCTGTAATTTGAAAAAAATATACCTTATTTCCAGTAACTAAAAATGGTACTAGAAAAATTCAAACTAAAAAGGGAGGGAAATTCCTGATCCTTTTAAGTGAAAATTAATAGAAAAAAGCTTAAGTGTCTACAATCACTTAAAACAAACATATTTTGCTATGTAAATGACTAATTTAGTAAATTGTTACATAATCCATTAAGTTTTATCACAGCATTAAATGCAATGTATTAAAATACTAGTCGCAGTCTTACCTGATCCCAATATTTCCTCTGCAATTTGCGATTATCCTCTTGAAGACGAATAACTTCACTTTTAAAATTTTGAACAGCGGCTTCAAGTGTTTCTGTCTGAGACTGATGTCCATTCTCCGCATCAGCAGAATTTTCAGGAATAGAAGCTAAATGGGAATCTGACTGTGATAAATGTTGTTGATCACGCCTCAAATTCGAAACAGGCTGTACACTGACATTTTCAAGTAATTGGATTCTTTGTCTTGCATATTCAACCTTTAAAAGAAACACATATTACAGAAAACAAAATTAAAATAAGAAGCAAGAGACATACGCAACATTATTTTAAACATGGATGCTTTAAAATAAAATTTTGTATACAGGAAATGCTGTAGGTTAAAAAAAATTCAATATGAAATTTTCAAAATAATTCATAACAAAATTTATTCTCAGTTATACTTTATTACCTATATTCAAAGTTGAAAGAAAATATGTTTCATATTTATTTAAACATTTTCTATTTGTTTAATACTGAAAATTTGTAGTTACTAAGAATATTTAAAAAATATTTCTTTTTTAATAGAAAAATATTTTTTCATCAAATCACAACAAACATAAAAAGTTACAAGCTAAGAGCTTGTAAAGGTTAATGTTAGATAGATAAATCAAGGTTTTTCAATTGGATGACAGTTTATAAAAGAAATTAAAGTTGTTGTTTTGAGAAACCAGCTATAATAGAATTTTATCGAGCACTTCAACTGATAAGGGCGAGAACTACACAAGTTTAGACAACGATTTTAATTGTTGTTGGCACACAGAGGTTATAACATCATTTTTTTTTTCTGCAGTAGAAAAGTGTTCAAATCTGTGTTCAAACTTTGGTCATCTATCTGTATCAATTTAATGGTGATTTTTTTTCAATGCTAACCATATTTAGTTTATTTTCTTTGATGCCACTTCCATCACATCCCCAAATACAAATAAATATTACAAAATATGGACACTTTAATGCTACTCACTTATAAAAGGTGTATCTTATTTTTTTTCCTTATAAAATTGTGCTTAGGTTTGGGCCAATCATTCCCTAAATTCAGTGGTGTTTCAGTGGAAACAACCAAAAATAAATGCCTTTAATTAGAAAATTATCTTCATAACTATATTTAATCCTTTCACATATGACAAATAAATATACTTTTGTCATTACACACCATACACTGTTTAAAAAAATGCATCTAGATAATAGTCTAACAGCCGATACACTAAGCATCAGTTCAAAATTAATTTTAATATTCCTTATTTATCCCATACATTGATTGACAAGTATGATCCATGCATAGACTGACTGTGTACAATCTGTGTAATTTCCTTACTTATATAGATTTAAAAAACATCTAGGTAATTCTTTAAACTTTAAAAAACAAAAAAAACAGCAGTGTCATGAATTGCAGTAAATTTACGCCAGGCAATCGCACCGGAACTTGGAGAAAGATTTTTCATAATCACAATGATTCAAAGTTAATATGAAAATGCACGACCAATCAGAACAACTGGGTAGTTCCTTAACCTTAAAAAAACATCAAAGAAGTAAATTGCAGACAAATTTATACCAGAAAATTGCACTTACACTTAACAAAAAACTGAGAAGGTATTTAGTCAAAACCTTTGCTTTTCTAGATCAGAGGTTCCCAATTTTTTTCGGAACCCTAAGTAATTAACCACTCCTTGGAAGAGCCCTAACTTTATAAATAAAGCTCATTAAGGTCATTGTGAAGGTTATAAGCTATATAAAAGACCATTTTAAAAATATTTAATTAGAGGAATGAAGATTATTCTTCGTTTTATCCTTATAAAATCAAGTCAGATTTTATATCCAACAGTTAGATTAGCAGTTCTTGTTCTATATCTAGTATAGTTATGAATTTGTGTTCGGTGTATACATAAACAGAAAACGAACAAAATGTGTCTAATTATGGTTTACTACAAGATGAAAACTTAAAAGTACTGATACAAATGCTGAAAATGGTTAAAGAAACATATTACTTTTATAAAAGAATTTAATTATTTTACTTTTTATTTGAAAAGCACAATAGGAAACGTTAATGCAATGATTTATAAATGCTTAATCTTTTCATCATTTGTTCAATAAAGTGTTATTAGAAATAGATTTCCTTTTAAAAAATGTCATTTCTATTTCATTAGTATTTTACTTGAAATTATTTCATAAAAGAAACCGAAAGATAAAATAAACAATGAAATATAGGTTGGATCAGGATAAGTTAGATATGTATAATTGGAGGTTTCAAAACTCATCACTGGTTTTAAAACCTACTCTAACTCACAGAACCCCAAGGCTCCACCGAACATCATTTGGGATCTGCTGCTCTAGAGCAGCCGATATCACGTCTATAATCTTCTCAAACACAAGTACAACCCAAGCATTACATTGAAAGTTATAATTGTCGATGTTAGCAGAAACAAAGAGTTCCACAAAAACAGCTGTAGAGTGGAAGCAAGTCAGTTCTGAAACTTGTTATATATAATCTTATTGTTACTTTCAGTTACTCTGTTCATCAAAATAGATTATGTTGACTTTATTCAAGTTCATATATTTTTAAATCAAATTTATTTTCATGGAACTCAGCTTTTTTTTTCTTAGAAAGTTAGTATTAATCAAAATTAAGGTTCTACGGCTATTAGACAATCATTTTATAAGCCCTGTGGCAAAATTGTGATGACATGGCAACATTGTCGCAGAAAGTTACACAGTTCTCGCAGAAAAATTTTTCTTTTGGAAAGTAACAAATTTTGGTTATTTTTTCTGAAGCAATTTTCAAAAGTTTTATCTTTTCTTCAGAATTCTGTTCAAAAGATGCCTTCCTCGCTCATCGTTGGGGGAAGAAAAAAATCATGTGATTTTTCTATTCTCATTTGATAATAAATGAAAAATAAAGAATAATAAAGTAAAAAATTTGGTTTTCTTTTCTGCAGACATTACTATTAATATCCACATAGTTTTTAAAATATGTTTTTTATAGAGTATTATTTATTACAACAACCAAATCTCGAAATTAAAACACGCATTTAGTAACCCATTTAGTAACCAAGTCATCCTTCAATTCGTGTGATTTCGTCGTTGATCTTTTTTTTTCATTAGTTACTGTTACAGATTTCATGATTTTTTAATGTGATGACGATTTACAAAATACGAAAAAGGAAATAATCAGTGTGTTTTCCCCTACAAAATGTGAGAATATCACCCATAATAAAAAATATAACATATTTTTATTTTTAAAAGTATCTTGTAGAAAGATATTAGTATTAGAAAGGTAAGTCGCAGAAAGCTCGAAAAATTCTGCCATAGAGTTTATAAGTAAGATCTTTTAATAGAAACAAAGAACTTTAATTATGCTATATGATCTTTAAAAGATGGTTTAAAAAGGTTCACTGCTGTGAAATCCTGATTTTAAATATAAATAAACAAAATTAAGGGGAACAAGATTTAAAGTAAATGATTAAAAAAAAAGAGAAAATTTAATAACACTTAATAATGCTTACTTGAAGTTTCTCATGTTCTTCAGTTAGCCTCTTCAAATGAGACACAAGATCAGAGTTGCACCAAGAACTTCCATCTTGAGAATGACTTTTATCACTATGTAAGCTAGTTGGCGATTCAGATGGAGTTAAATGAGAATCTGACGATGGAATACCTTTACCATCAGAGTGTTTGATCGGAGAATTGATGTTGGTTTTCCGAGAGTCACCCTCAGCATTTGAATGTGTTTTTGCAGAGTTTTCTATCTGGTCATTGCTTTTAGAACTACTAAAAGATGGTTTCGGTTTTAATGCTGGCTTTTTGAAAACTGAAAGTGAGGGCTTGGAAGAAGACAATGCAGGATTTTGAGTCTTTGGGCCTCTAATGCTACCATGTCTCGTTAAAGTACTTGTGCCAGACTGCTCCAGTTTAGGTCGCGAGGTAGTCAATCGCAAGCTCTTCGAGCGAACCAAAGAGCTTTTAGGTGCAGTTGGAAGTTGAGCATTAGAATTTCCAGGCATTATTACAAGACAATATTAACCTAAAATGGATTGACATCACTTATATAATAATTATAAAAAAAACATATTTCTAAAACATGAATTATAATTATTAAGTTTGATTATGCTAATAAATTAGGAATTGGAAACACAAAAACTTTCAGATGCGATTAGAGGTATAGCATTCAGGTATTATGACAAGACAGGACAGATATCAGTAATAAAATAAATCAAATTCAATTAAAAAATAGTATAGATATACTTTGAAGTTATTCTACACACGAATATAAAAAATATCGCATAAAGACATAATTTTTAAAGATACCGAAGATCAAAAATGTAGAATCACATTATATATAATTTAACAAATTTGGATAGTTGATCCAGTAAATATTAAGATGACAAATTTTAAAAGCTAGAAATGTCATTACACATTTTTACACGTACTAAGTCATAAAACTGTCAGATAATTTAAATTATCTTTCTTCCTGATGTTAAACCATGTGCTTTTCTAACATTCAAAAAAATTAACTATCAACAACATTTCACTTTATGAACTTAAAACAGCGACATAAAAAGTAGGTAGAGAGGAAGCATAAATGAATGTAACAGGAATACGTTATATTCCAGATGGGAAACGCTTTCGGCTTCTTATTTTCATCTGACTAAAGTTATGGTGAAACAACTTCTTTTCAAAGAAATTTCCTTAAAGGCCATTTTTTATACATATGGTTCATGCGCATCCATGAATTGATTGGTGAAATATGTTCTGACATAAAAATTTTACTAATCAAATTTCTCCCAACTTCCACAAAGTTGCTTAAATAGCATGCAGCAAAAACGTTCCAGAAAATCTATTCGTGACTTCAGTGACTTGCTACGGCTAGAGTTAGATTATAGAAATCAATAGCCGGAAGTTAATTAGTAAACATTTCTAAGGTCAACCGGTTGATCTTATCAGGTATGTACTTGATCTCTTTACTAATTTTTCTTCTATTGTGACTTAATTTTTTTAATAAAATTTATTTTACAACACTTTTGTCCATTATTTTTGGTGGAGGTTCAGTTTTAAAATATCTGTAGTTTTCTAAATGACTTGTATTCCCTCTTGCTATAATTTGTAAACATTGCATCATGTGTTAGAAGATGTCATAAAAAAACAAAACCTCGTATGATATTGTTGTAAACTTTTACCTCTTTATTTTAATAAAATCTTTTCTCCTAATCCCCTTTTTTTGTGTGCTTGTTTGTTGTCTCATCTATTTTGACTAAGCATTGCTGCATTAAAAAAATCAAGCTGAAAAATAAATTCTGTAAGGATAAAAGCACTTTCGAAATACTTTAGCAGAAAGTATGCAGTTACAAGATGACTTCGCCAAAATTTATCAATGATATTCCAATAATACATACTAGCTGCTCCCTATTACTAACTCTGGTTAGCCTATTTCCATCAGCAACTTTTGTATGATGGTAAAAAAAAAATATTAATATAGTTATGAAATGAATTACTCATATCGAAGGAACTGTAGTTCTTCAATCCTTGCTTTTTGTTTTGCTAAAGCAAGTAAATCCATTGAGATTATAAATATAAGGCCTAAAATATTTCAATAAAGGAAGCTGTAAAACTACTTATAAATTAACTAGATTGTTGAAACATTCCTAATTGCAGAAACTGATAAAATTTTTGTTTTTCATTATATGATGCGATTTTAAGTGCTGAAGTATTGTGCAGGAATTACGTTAATTTTTCAAATAGTACATTACATTCATTCATAAGTTCGCAATTAAAGAATTATTTTTCCAAATAAAATATCTTCTGATTATAGTGATATCCTATATTTCATCAATTTTTATATATTTTCATGTACTATTATCTACGTACAAGATTTTTTTCACATTGCTTGTCAAATTTAAATTATTCAAAACAAAGGACTAATCATTTATTTACAATTACCACTTTTCAATGTATTAACACCAGACTGATCGAAGTTCACTGCAGTCATTTTGTCAGCAAATCAACTTCGAGAGTCTAAATAACTAAATTATATCAATTTACTTAACTTTCATGACTTTTAGTTTTATAACAGTTTTTACAACAGTTTTATATTATTCTTTATGAAACTAGTACTAATTTTATGCATTAAAATACTGTAAAACTGTGGAATGTTAAAATTAATAAAAACTACTCATTTAAACTTTTTATAATGATATTCAGGATGAAAATAAAATACTTATTCCCGTTTTCATATTGCTGTCAAAATGACTGCTATGATCATTCTAGGTAGATAAAAATGTCAGTTGTTGTAGTGTTAAGTTTAATGTAAGTAAAAATTATCTGAATAACAATTCAACAGAAAATGCTATCTGAACTTATGTTGCTTAAAATCCAAACTGGAACAGATAACATTTTAGTGCATGTAATACTTTAAACTTAAATTATTATATTTTGTTTATCTTTTTTCTAGTGTAGGTTACTTTTATTGTTAGTTTTTTAGAAATCTATTTGACACGTTTGCTGCTGTAACAAACTATCTAACTTTAGTTTTTACATTTTATTGCTAATAATTCCCATTCAGTTTTATATTTAATGGGCAATAATATGTTTATCCGATGTTGCTTGATATCATTCAGCCTGTGTGTTCTTTCATTTGATTGTATTACCAAAAAAAAATTCTGACAAGTAAAAATGAATTTTATAAAAAAATATTTGATTTAATAAGTAAGTTGTAAAAACAGATCACACTCTAATTTATACGAGGTCTGTCTAAAAAGTATCCGACCTTAATTTTTCCTGCGCAAAGTAGTGACTTTAAGGCGGCGCCTTAGTGCACAGTGGAAAGAGGAACCTTAATGCACATGACTGAATTTTTTCACCGTGTTCGCTTGTGCAACTCGCTGGCAGGTGGTCGCCAAGTAAGGTGCTGTCCGTAGTGTTCGTCGGATTCAGTTTTCTCGCAAGATGACTGAACGAATTGAGCAAAGATACTGCATGAAATTCTGTCAAAAGCTTAGTGATTCTCAAAGCCAAACAATTCGTAAGATTCAGCAGGTGTTTGGAGAAGAAGCGATGGGTGTAACACAAATTAAGGAGCGGTTCAACCGATTCAAAGATGACCGCACATCAGCGGAGAGTGAGCAGCGTTGTGGCAGGCCTCAAACTGCTCAGAGTGCAGTTAATGTTGAAAGGTTGGAAAATTTGGTGATGGCAGATCGTCGTTTGGCAGTGCGGGAGATTGCAGAAGAGGTTGGAGTGAGTAAAGATTCTGCACATGCAATTTTGCGTGAAGATTTGAACATGAACTGAGTGGCTGCAAAATTCGTACCCAAATTGTTGTCGCAAAAGCACGCCTCTGCACATTCATCCCAATTGATCCACACTTTCTTAGCCAAACATGGAATTACAACCGTTCGCCAACCTCTCTACTCTCCAGACCTGTCTCCTTGCGACTTCTGGTTGTATCCAAAATTGAACACGCCACTGAAAGGATCCAGTTTTGAGAGTAGAGAAGAGATAATGTTGAACGCGACGATGGAGCTGAACACCATTCCAAAAGAAGACTTCCAGAGGTGTTTCCAGCAGTGGAAGGATCGGTGGGCTAAGTGTGTGCAAGCAAAAGGGGCCTACTTTGAAGGGGATTAGGGTCCCAACTCCGTCAGGTATTCGAAATATTTTTTCCGGCCAAAGGTCGGATACTTTTTAGACAGGCCTCGTATAGAAATATAATCAAACAAAAAGTCATAGAGTAATTGCATTATTTTTACTACAGTCTGAAACTTTCCTGGTCTACAAAAATCATTCAGTCTCAAACATGTTTCATTATTTTAACTTGAATTCTTTTTCTATCGTTTTGATAACCAGTTTATACAAAGCATTCACCTGAGATGGTGCGTTATTGTGAATCCTTACAACTGATATTAACTCTTTAAATTTTGATCTTTGTGTTGTTTTTTTTTTATGGTGATTCTTGAGAATATTTTTATTGACTTTCTCCACATGTAGTCTTAAAATACATTTAAATAGTTGTTCATTTTCTTTTAAATTTAGTTTGTTTGTTTTTTTTTTTTTCGTATTTGCTCATGCCAAATTGTTCTTCATTATTTACTCCTTTTGCATATGGAATTTTAATGTTAGTAACAAACAGTTTAAAGATTTATACTGACTATCCATAAATTTATAAATTTCATTCTTTCTCTAGTTCAGCATATATGTTTAGGTTTTTAACGATTTCAGCATTTGCAGTAACTACATTTCCTATTCCTTCACACTTCAAAAATCATATCCTTGAAAATATATGTATGTGCATAGTTGAATTAAAAAAGATTATTTAAATCAAGGAACTTTTTTCTGAAAAAAAGCAAATGATTTGTATGGACTAAACTTGTCACAAATAAGCACATTTCTTTATTTTCAGTTCACTTGTTTTAATTTTTCTTTTTGGCAAACGTAGTGTATGAAAATATGCTTAGAATAAAATGGCAATAAAAAAATAATTTTGTAAACATTGAGTTTTTAATATTTTGTCCATATTGCCTAGTTTAGCCATAACATCGTTAACACTTATAAAACTTTAAAAGAATGCTGCAAACAGGGTTTGACAATAAGTGGTTTGCCATTAAGCTGCTGTTTTGCTTCATTAAGAATATTTTTGTTATGTGGGATTGTTTAAATTTCCTGAATGGTTGACTGTAGGTATTCATCTGTATTCTGATGATTTTTCTGAAAAAGTTTTTTTTTTAAAGTCATTGAAAAACCAATATCAAAATTTTAAAACATAAATATATTATATAGAATTTATGCAAGTCATTGTTCTCTTTATTGTTTGTCAAGATATTCAATAAACGAGATCAACAATAGGATTGCAAATGTACAATATAGTCATTTTACTAGTAGATTGACTTTTTGATTATTTCGCGATAAATTTTTCTCGTAGCGGTGAGAAGCAAATTGAGGCTTGCATTGTCAACAAGAATAGAGCTCCTTTACATAGCTAATCAGAAAGTGATTGCTAGATTTCATTGTCACTAACGCTAAAACGAGGTAATTAAATTGTTGCTTTATGTTGCTGAAGTCAACAATATGTTATTAGGGAATGGATTTTTTTTTTCTTTTTTGAAAAATATACATAATTAACTTTTTTGATAGTGAAAATTTAAAAATTGTAACATTATTTATCCGCTAGTTATTTTTGTTAGTTTTATTTACAGTTAAAACAAGTTTGTGCTGCTTTTATGAATTCTAAAATATTTGACTTATTTTAAGAAAACTTATTCAAAAAGTGTACAAAATAAAAAGTGAACACTTTTGATTGGATTTTCAAGTACTAGCGGGCCCAATTTTAATGGTTTGAGAGCTTAATTCTAAATATGAGAATTAGTTAGTGCTAATGACATTGTTAGTTGCAAGATGAAACTCTAAACCGTACTTTCTCTAAATAAACTTTTTTTTTTTTGTACTAGTTTTGTTTCTTGACTCCCAGAATATGTGAGGTAGCTGCAATCTGCAAAACATGGTCCCAATAGTTTAGACAGAAGAGCGATCAAAAGTTTCGACTCCTTAAAGCCAAGTTTACTTTTGACCTTTTTCGCTAAACCTCGAGCAAGTTATCAGTCTTTAGGCACTGCTTCATTTTTCGCACTCCTAATTAAGCTACCTTAACTGTATTTTCCAATGTGTGGCTAACCACCCAAATCCATCGAAAAAAGTGTGTATTTGTATGTTTCTGTAACTGTAAATATCATCAGTACAAATTAATTAGCATATTTTAGGTTAGAGCAAGAAACGCTACACTTTTTTGATCATCAACCCCCAAAAATTTCATAATTCTTTTATTGACCCTTCTTTTAAAAATACAGTACAGAACCCGTTATCCGGAAATCAGAAAACCAAAAAACCGGAACGAAATTCGATAAATTTTCCCGCAATTTAAAAAAAAATTTTTTTTTTCCTCATAAGATTTTAGGATATTTCGTTCTTTTTTGAAAGATATTTACCTTACCATCATTTTGGAAATAATCATTAGTGCATTACTCTATCGTTTTTTCTTCTTTTTAAGATTATTTCCCAAAAAAAAAAATTTTTTTTAGTTGGGTTTAACAATAAAAAAACGGCTTTTTGTAGCGATTCAGAAAACCGGAAAAATCAGTTATCCGGAATAGCGATGGTCCCGATCTTTCCGGATAATCGGTTCCCTACTGTATATATATAAGTCTATTCAAAATATATATATAAGAAAGAAAAGCTGTTTTTTAAATAATTAACCAGTTTCTTAATTGAGTTATTTTATTTTGACAAAATTGTTTTTTTACACATATCAATAAGAAAGATGTGCTTGATGACACTTAGTTAGAATGTTAGTTTGAAATTTGTTAGCTTCAGTTTTAAATCGCCTCGTTGCTCTACATTCAATTTCTTTAATCTGCGTAACTGAAATAGAATTAACATGACTGAATCCGGATGCAATTAATAGAGGAAACGCCACAGTACAAAGTTTCGGATTTTTTTGTTTAGTAATTATATTCTTCCTGAATTTACTCGTGATTAAATATTTGAAAAAAAGTAATTATGCTGAATCAGGATATTAAATATGGTTTAATCTATTATAAAAACTTTGCTTACTGTATTGTAATTACAAACATTCCAAACGAAAATTGTATATACTGCGTCGCTGTCAAGAAACTTGCAATTGAATGTCATTGATTTTCATTCATCGACCCTTAATTATACTATGTCGTCCACTTTGGCCGTCAAACCTTCAACAATTGAAGCAGGCTTAGTAATGGCTCAAAGAAAAAATCGAGAAATTTTTTGGAGCAGTATATGTTTATCAGACTTATTTCGTAAACAGCAAACTAAAAAAAGTGTAATTTGATTTTTTTTTTGTGTAATGAAAGCTAATTTCATTGTAAAAGAATAATAAAATACACTATTTTTAATTTCAGAATTTCTTTGTTTAAAACAGAAAAATTTTGAGCTTAATTTTATCAATACTTAACAACTCATAAATGAATAATTATAACGACTGAAACGGTATGAATATATTACCTGATTGAAAACTTTATTCACTTCAGAAATAAAAAATATCAAAAAAAGGCTCCCATTTACATTCACATCAGTCTTGAAAATGGGCGCCTATTTTTGAAGCGCTTGATTCATGTGAAGTGTTATTTCATATTTGTCTATTTCTGAATCGAATAAAGATTTCAATCAGGTTATAACACATCAAATTAAAATCAGTACCTGGAAAATATTTATAGTACTATTGCTTAAAAAAAATAACCTAAATCAATTACTTAATATTCCCTCCTACCAATATATAACTAAAAATTGTATTTGAGTTCAAGATTTTCTTAATCAAATTATTTTAAAATAGGATTTGAAGAATCAAGAAATGAAAACGCAATGAATATGCCACTAACATTCTTGTACAAAATTTAGTAAATGATCCCTCAATTAATCATTTAAAAATTCAATGATATGATTACTCAGGGGTCTGTCTATGTTTTTTTGAGAGGTACCTATTTTGTAAAAATTTAGACATAATTTGTGAAATTTAAAAATTATATTAAAAAATCAACACAAAAATATGGTAAAATAAGAAAATATTCTCAAAAATATTTAAATATTTTTTGAAAATATGTAAAGGTATTTTATGAAACTACCGTTTTTCCTAAAACTGAATTTATGAAAGTACTGCTAAACGGCAGTAAATTTGCCTTGGACAGACCTCTGTACTGTATCGTTGATTGGAATGGATCATTTTTAAAATTAAATAATTGTATGATCCCTGTTTTAATCACCATAAAAATTCAAAGTATGAATTATTATTTTTTTCATTGGATGAATGAATTTCCAGAAAGGTTTAAACAATGAAACCTGTGGGTAAAGCTATATATCTGATCTGAACTATGTGTATAATTAGTAAATGTTCCCAAAATTCGAACAATCGAATTTTGTGATTTCTGCACGAATTATTAATTATAATAAAAGGATGTTAAATAAAAAATCCAAATCTTTAAACCTATTTTTAAAAATCCCCATTGGTATTTTTAGAAAATGGGATGTTCTGATCGCAACCAAAAACCAGAAATATCTGGACAGAAAGCTAGAAAAAGGGACACATGGGGACAAAGTATATTTTATTTTAAATATCAATACAACTACGAACCCTGCGTTATAATGTTGTTTACTTTTTTTTTTACACACCATGTCATTGTGTTTCTCGACTTTTTGTTATGTGGGCGCAGTAAACGACTAGTATCTGAAATCATGGTGCAACTATCAGCAAAGTTATTATAATATGAGTAGACTAAATACTTGATAAACTAGAAAATTGACTTGTGCTTGTTATTTGTATTACTTATTCATGTGTTTTCACTTTTGTAGCTTTAATCATGGGTGTTGTTCATGCCAAAGAACCTCCTCAAATGAGAAAATTAGGCCAGGAGGAATGGAAACCTCTGGATGAAGTTCCTGCCCGTGTTGATAAAGTTCGATTTGAAGGAATTGGCAAAACTAAAAATGATGTCCTGAAATATGTTATTGGTGATTTATTGCATGCAAAAAACATGGAAGAAGTAGTTCTTAAAGCTCACGGAGCACGACAACAGTTAGAATCTTTGGAAGCTTTCGATCGCATCGACATCATTTTGGACACGAGCCGTGGTAAAGACGCTTCTCCTGATGGCTTTGAAGTTACTTTTGATTTGAAAGAAAAACGTTCTTTTCGAGGCGGAGGAGACGTTGTATTTGAAACTGGAAGCAATGAACCAAATCTTATGTTTAAAATTCTTTCTCCCAACATGCTTGGAAGAGGAGAATCTCTATCTGCCCAATTCAATTATGGCAAGAAAAATTTAGGTTTCAACATAGAAAACACTAAACCTTTCTTACATTGGGCCAAACCAAAATTGAAGCAATCTGTTTTTGGTTCGACTTACGATAACATATGGAGTGCCTACCAAGAAAAAATCAAAGGGATTGGATTTGAGTGTTTGTTTGAATCCTACCCTCAAGTTGTTCATACTTTGCGTTGGGAGGGAGTATGGAGAGATCTGAAGTGTCTTTCTCCTTCAACGCCATTTTTAATCAGAGAAGACACTGGACACAGCGTCAAATCCTCTTTAAAACATATCTTGTCTTTCGATCAAAGAGATGATGCACTTCTTCCATCGAGAGGGAGCTACTTCCATTTGTTTCAAGAATACGCCGGATTGGGAGGAAGTGTGAACTTCGTGAAAAATGAAATACATTATCAAGTCAATAAGTGCATTTTAGGGGATTTAGTATTACAACTTAGTTTCATGGCTGGTTTGGTGAAATCTATTGGTGCTGATAGTTCTGTAAAAATAAATGATAGATTTTTCTTAGGAGGACCATTATCAGTGCGAGGATTTGCGCAGAATGGTGTTGGTCCTCAAACACAAGATTTCTCTTTAGGGGCTGAAGCCTATTGGGCTGCTGGCTTACATGCATACACACCATTACCGTTTCGCCCACTCCCTGAATTCTTCAACAAATTTTGTCGATCACATTTCTTTTTGAATACTGGGAATATAGGCAACTTTGCCTTTACTGATGACTATCACCATAATACCATGGTATTACTCTCAGGATTAAGATGGTCCTGTGGAATGGGACTAGCTGTTTCTCTAGCAGGGATTGCTAAATTAGAAATAAATTATACTGTTCCCTTGTCCAGCCAACATGGAGACAGATTAAATGGGGGATTACAGTTTGGTATAGGATTTAATTTTCTGTAATTAGTTGCTAATCTAAAGAGTAATTTAATAACGGAATTAGTGAAGTGAAGCAAAGATTATTTCAATATTAAAAATATTCTTAATTTGTTTTGAGTATTAATTCTGATGAAATTGTTTTCTCTGTTGATTTCTGCATTGTCTTAGCAAGTAAATTGATTTACCACACCTATAAAGCTTATTGATTTGTTATCAGAGATTTAAATAAAATAAAATTTAAAAAGCATGTTTTTTATTGTTTCAGTTTAATTTAACTACGAAGTGATGTATAGAATTTGAATTGAACTTTTTTTTACTCTGATTTAAATTGTAAAAAAACAAAAATATTAAAAATACTGGTTTACCCAATATTCAGATTCTAGTTTTAAAAATGAAGTTTATTAAATTTGCCCCAAAGTTCAGGATTTTTCATGAATTTAAGTTCAGGTATTTTACAAGTAAGAAAAAGAAAATAATTAATTCATTATTAAACAGGTTAGAGGAGGAATTAGTTAAGCTATTGTACCTGCATATTTTAATTTCGTATTTTCCAACTTATTTTAAAACAGTTTTGTGCAAATTAATTGGAACTGCTGCAAAAGTGTTCATTTATGTGGTTCAGTTAATGTACATTTCATTTATATTCATCTTATGGGAACTATGCAGTGTATCGAATTTATATCTAGATGTTTCTCAAGCTAATCCAAAACGATTCATTTAAAATACTTTCTTTTTATCGAAGTAGAATTAGGACAGAATTTACTCTGGGGCAGAATTACCTTAGGCATATAAGGTCCCCGAAACGCTGATTTTTTTTATAATTGATAAAAGTGGTGGATTCAAATTGCTTATGGCTTAAAATTTTCAAATATATCTTTCTATTTACTTAAGTAATTTAGTATCTACTTTTTAATATTCTTCAGTTGAGCTTACAATTATGTTAACAGAGTGTCTACCGTTGGTGAGAATCTCTTTCACTAGTTCTGTTAATTATATTTTCTTTTTAAAAGCTAATTCCTGTTTCACGATTTCAGATGTGTTTTAAAGATTGTATCTTAAAAATTAGTTAGATTAATTTTTTTGACCGGTAGACACCCTGGTTAAGACATTTTTAGCTCAAAATGTTACTTCTAGAAATTTTTGTATTTTGAACGGGAAAAAAAAATTTTATGATTTTTTCAAATTCCTTGCGAAATTTATAAACGCCTTTAGTATTCTCTTGTTTACGTAAATATAATGCTCCGTAATCCCATCAATTTTGACATTTTCATTCCGGATGTTATGTAGCTAAGTTATGGGACTGAATTGGGCTCATGTGCAAGAGATTGTGAGTTCGATTCCCTCCCGCTGAAGACTTTGTAAAATGATAACTGGTGCTTACTATATTTGTCAAATTTCCTTAACAAATCAATACCTCTGGAAGATAGATCGTGCTCTGGTTCAAGTAAAAATTACAATCTGTGGATGGTGTGTGAATATATCCTCTCTGTAAAATGGGATGTGACGTATGTGTGTAGAAGTCGAATTCTTGTCCATAGATGGTGTCACTGGAAAACAAGAAGAATCGTACCCCTCTGCCTTAAAATAGGCTTGTCAGAATTGACAAATAGCATTAAGACAACATGGAACTGAAGTTCGGACGTCAAAGCTTCGATAAATTTTTGAATAAAAGTTTATTTTTAAAAGATGAGATAAAAGTAGAAGGAAGTAAATTCTCATTACTTTATGAATTTATATCGGAGGGAAGAGCTTACAAATTGAGTCTACTACCGAGGGTTTAAATTATATTTTTCCGTGTAAAATAAAGCTCTTTTTTTTATTTATTTAGTTTGAAGATTTCGCTTATTTAAAAAAAAACAGCAATATAAAAGACATTTTTAAAACAAGTTTTTAATGTGCTTGAAAATACAAAGATCTTTAACTTTCCTAAGAATTCTTATACAGCTTCAGTTGTTTTGAGGTCGCTTAATTATTAAAAATCTTAGAATCGACGAACTGAACAGAACTGAGGGGGGGGGGGTNGGGGGGGGGGGGTTCGTATAAACTAAAGCTTATTATTTCATATTTATTTAGAAAATTTCGTTAAGATTTAACAAAAATCAGTATTTTGAAAAGAATTTTTCAAAAATGTAATTAAAAATTTTTTTAAGGAACTTACAAGGGAAAATGGAGCTGGACTTAGTAGCTAAGATTTAAGAGCCGGTTGGAGCTAAACTCTTTGACCCAGAAACGATCAGATTTAATCAAAATATTTATTCTTCACTTGTGTACAATATATCATTCCCGAAAAGTCATAGTTGTACTACTTTTTTATGTAAATTATTTGTTTTCCTAGTTAAAGTCCAATAACTCGGTCTTATCTTACAAGTGTAGTAAGACCAGGCACACATGTTAACTTAACGGAAATTTAGAAACACTGAAATTTCATTGTAAAAGTAGCAAACATTTCTATTTTATATTACAATTTTTAAAAATATTTTGCATTGTCCAGAATTGTTCCTTGTGATTTCTTAAGTGGAAAAAAAAATGTAGATGTAGAGAGGGATAATTTTGTCATGACTAAGATAAAATTTAAGAATCATACAGAAAATTTAATAATTCACTTCAAAAAATGCTCTGTATTATAAATTCTTTAATACTCTGTATTAAAAATTACATTTGAAAAGTAGCTTTTATTGTAGTTCATTTATGTCGCACTAGAGCTGCAAAGCGGGCTATTGGCGACGGTCTGAGAAACATCCCTGAGGATGATCCGAAGACATGCCGTCACAATTTTGATCCACAAATTTGACAGAGGGGGTTACGGGTTACGCTCCCGCTTCGGTACCCCGACGACCTGCACGCGAAGGCGAGCACTTTACGGTAGAACAGTTTAACGATACCAATACCGCACACCCTCGGTCCCTTGCCCTTCGCAGACTAATCCAAGTGGTTACCCACCCGCACACTGACCGCAGCCAGTGATGCTTGACTTCGGTGATCTGCTGGGAACCGTGTCTTAACGATCAGTTCACTGCGGGACGGTTTGAAAAGTAGCAGACATTTCTATTTTATATGACAATTTAAGAATATTTTTCATTTTCCTACAGAATTGTTCCTTGTGATTTTTTTAAGTGAAAAAAGAATTTTATAAATGTAGATGTAGAGAGGGAATTTTGTCATGACTAAAATAAAATTTAAGAATCATACAGAAAATTTAAGAATTTATTTCAAAAAATATTCTGTATTATAAATTAAATTTATTTCACGATTAGCTTTGTGAATGGAAAACTTACCCTCTCAAGAACTGTGGAATGCATGGATACAAGGTGTTACATAATGACCGTCCTTTATATGCATTTTTATAATCTTAATCAAAAATCAATGGTTTTCCCAAACTCACATTTAATCGAAGAAAAAACTAATGAAAATCTAACAAATTAGAGAACAGGAAAGTGCATGCAAGGAAGCAGGTTTGATTGCGGGAGCAGACAAAAGAGTAAAGAGGCGATTATTACAAAAATCTTCAGCTTTCAATTAAGCCTGTTAATTAAAACCATCATACGCTGCTGTAATTTATCAGTTTTCTCTAGTGTTTTTATTTTTTTCCTCGCTTAAATATTAATTTCTGATCCCAATGTGTGTCTTTTTGAAGTGAAATGCGACTTCCAACAAGGTTGCGTTAAACGTTTAACGCTACCATGGCAACGAGTGGCCTGTGATCTTTGCAGGAGATTTTAATGTGAATTTCTCGTTACCTGAAGCTGAAACATCATTAACCTTCCTTAAAGACAAATTTGGATTGGAAATTATAAATGGTAGGAATGATCCAACAACCAAAGGGGTTACTACCATTGATGCAGTTTTTGCAAGAAATATTGAAAAAATAGAACTCAAACATTTCGTATCTTACTTTAGTTATCATAATCCCATTGTAAATGTTATAGATTTGGATATTTCTCCACTCGAAAATGATAATTAAAAGATGCGATCAATTGTGAATTGTAAGCATTGTTAATAAAGTTTGTCTTAAAGAAACAATATGATTTCACTAAAAATCAATTTCTACCCCTTCCTATTTTCATTTCCACATTACGAAGTTTCACTTCTTCCGCACTATTTTTTTTTGTATGGATTCTAAAAATATATTTTAAAAGTGTCTTTTCGGAACACTCTGTATATAATATATCATTTGCTTTTTATTCCTTTGACTAAACTATAATAGATTGCAATTTCTGCAAAAGTCACAAAATTTGTATGCTTTTTTAAAAAAATATTTATTAAGCTATCAGATACTCTTCGAATACAAAAAAGTCCAAAAACCTGTGATTAAAGGATTTAATTTTAGACAAATTTTGATCGTTCACAGCCAAGCTGGAATGAAACGTACTTTATATGTTATAAACTTCATTAATTTAAAATAATACACCGATGTAATAACAGTAAACAATACATTTTAATGCAAAAACTAAATTTAAAAAATAATAATTTAGGTTTAATGACGCTGTTTAAGAACTAAAAGACAGCATAACCAAGTAAATTACTATTTACGTTAAAATCAGTTCATTTATTCGACTCGTTTAATTGGTAATAAAAATTAACTTTAGCTGACCAACCAGTTTTATTTAAGTGTTTTAAACCTAGGCGGACGGAAAATTTTTCACTGTTAATAAGTTTTTTCCGCATAGTGTTGAGACCCAGGAGTAGAGACTTTACTGATCTAACAATAAGTCTTAAATGTGAATGCTCAAATATACAGGATTATTTGGGCAAACCTTAAGGGGAGGTAGGAGATATTACAAGGATTCAGATTTGCATAACAACCCATGGTCAGAAACGTCGTCGTTTGCCGATAAGTGGTGTTATTCACAAGATCAAACAAAAACAGACTTACATAGCCGCAGTCATTTGAACTGTTATCTCCCAAAAAGGAGTATGCAATGTTTTACGAAAACCGAACTAACAGATATGCACATTATGTACGGATTGACAGAGCGAAATGCTCGAGCAGCAGGTTGCATCGTAAAAGGCCTTCACAGAGAGATTCACCGTACCAGTGGCCCACATCCCCTCCAAGCTCTGGGGCAAATTCTAAATCCCCCCCCCAAACTATTCGTTTTATTTAGTGTAAAAATTCCCCCCCCCCCAAGCTTTAAGTGGGCGCATCGTGCGTCCACCTCCCCCCCTGGTGGGGGCCCCTGCACCGTACCGCTGGATGTTTATTAATTTGCGTCACATTTCTTCTGAATAGATGTAGCGAGGACGGAC